TCCACTCACCTCGGCCTCCCAAAGCACGGGATTACAGGCTGAGCCACCGAGCCCGGCAACATTTTTTTAAAAATACATTCATCCCATGAGACAAGAACCCAGACCTGAAAAGCTGCTGGAAAAAAAATACAGTCATCCACCTTAAATCTTTCAGGAATATGGTGAGGTGTGATATAAATAGCTCTCTCTATACAAAATTCTTATTCACTCAACAAACATTACAATGAGACTGCCTGGATTCGATTTGTATTCCAGCCTCACCTCTTCCTAGCTGGGTTCTTGGACGAGTTTACTTAACCTCTCTGTGCTGTGAGATGAGAATAACCATAGGACCTTCCTCATAGTGTTTTTAAAAGAATTCAATGAGATGAAACACATGCAGAGTGCTTAGAACAGCACTTGGCATTCATTGCTGGCTCCTAGGCTGACAGTGAGACACTCTGCTGGGCAGTAGGAATACAAAGAAGAGGCAAACGCGGAAGCCTTCACAGTCCCATGGGAGCTCAGACAAGGAAGCAAATAATGGCAGATGCCACGTGATACGTGTAATCACGGAACGGAGTAGGAACTGTGAGGACACAGAAGACCTCCCTGGCCACAGGTGGGGCGCGCTTCCTGGACAGCTGGCTGTCCTCCCCCGAGCCTGTCTGCCCCCACAGTTCCCTGGTGCCCCTCTCATGCCCAAGGCTGCATCTAAAGCCCGGGGGTGGGGTAGACTGAGGAAGTGCCTCCCAGTGCCCGAGTGCTGCACGCTAAAAACCAGGGCTCCTGGCCAAGGCAGTAATTGCTAGCCGCTGAAAGATATTAAGCGCCAAGGAAGAAAACCAAGTTCTCTAGGACGCAGACTTTTCAGAGTTCTTACAGCATGTTAAAAAAAATGTAGATAGTTACCCAGTGAGATACGATTTCATGTTGTTGCCATTAGGGTTTGAGTATTATGCAGAGAGAGGCGATCATTCAGGCAATTCTACCTCAGCAAGGACTGAAAACTACACATTAACCCCACACAACTCATCTACCACTTCTAGGTCTTAACCTGACTCAGGCACTTTTTTCCTGGGTAGAGAATTTTATGTAAATCGAAGTAGTGAAAAAATCTATAAAATATTCAGTTTCCTATAGGATTTTCTTGATGGGCTGTGGGGGGGTGCTCTATTTCTTAAAAAAAGACATATTGGACTGAAGGCTAGGGGAGCAGTTACTTTCATTTCCATAGACTTCTGCCACAACTTGGGCTCTTCTGGTGGGTTCCCAATGCTGAGATCCTCTGGATCTGGCTGCTGATGTGGCTGCTCCCTGCAGCAATGGCCCCACAGACACAGAGGATGTAATCAGTCATAGCCATCATGGACCTGGAACTTCATGCCAAGCACAAAACAGGTGACACGCATAGTCTCCTTTCGGTCTCCTGACTCTGAGGTGGCCATCCTTACATTTTACTGAGTTTCATCTCATTGAAACTGAAGCGTAGGGAGATCAGCTTGCCAGGGTCACTACAGCAGCCTGGTTCAGAGGCCTGATTCCGCCTCTCTCCCGTAGCCTCACACTCTTCAGCTTTAGCTAAGAGAGATAACAGTACCTGATGTGTATTAAGTGTGGGGTGTACACAACTGTCATTTTCACCGCAGTGCCATGGGGCATTCTTGGCAGCCCTCTCCCCTGTCCCCTTTTAATGGCAGCTGCTCAACCCCAGGGCAATCTGACAAGGGCTTGGATAGAAAACCCCTCTACATCTGCCACTTCTTTGCAAGGGGAAGACTTGTGCCATTTGCCCTGCACAGCGTCTTCAGGGACTTTCTAACCACACCCTCGTACAATGCATTGCCCACAGTTGGCCCTCCATAATCATGGCCCATCTGAATACTGAGCCATATTCTCTCCCAGGTGACAAGCGAGCCCTCTTAAAAGTGCTTTCAGGCCACTAGGACCCCATTTAGGGCTCTGTATAGGCTTGCATTTGGGCTAAGTGCATGTCAGGTCCTGACTGTAATAATCATCTAGTAGTGTTTTAACTAGGCCTCTGGCCTGGCTAAGTCTGGTATTCCATTTTCTCTACTAAGGCTATTGGATGGATCCAGCCAAAGAAATCCTCCTACCCTCACCAGCACCCCAAAATGCGTTTCCCCAAAGTGCATCCTAATCTCTTTCCAGGAGGCAGGGGAGCAGGGCAGGCCTTTGTCTCCACTGCTGGGACTAAGGGAACAAGGTGGATTTTGTTTTGTTTTGTTTTGTTTTTTGAGTTGGAGTCTCACTCTGACACCCAGGCTGGAGTATAGTGGCATGTTTACAGCTACCGCAGCCTTGACCTGCTGGGCTCAGGCGATCCTTCTGCCTCAGCCTCCAAGTAGCTGGAACTACAGGCTGTGCTACCACACCTGGCTTTCTGTTTTTGGCTTAGTGTAAAGACGAGGTCTCACCAAGTTGCCCAGGCTGGTCTCGAACCCCTGAGCTCAGGCAATCCTCTCGCCTCAGCCTCCCAAAGTGCAGGCATTACAGGCATGAGCCACCCACCCAGCATCAAGAAAAGGACAGTATGGCATTACCCAGGCAAATTCCCCAACCCCAGTCCTGCCGGGCATCCTGTCCTCATCTTTTTTTTCTCTTCTTTTCCTCCATTCACTACCTGTTTTCTCCTCTTTTCCTCTCCAAATATTCTATTGTCCTCCTTTCTTCTCCCCTCTCTCCTTTTGGCTGCCTCCTTGCCCCCTCTCTTCCTTCCAAATTCCTAAATGCCTCCTCACTCTCCCCTCGCCCTTTCCTCCAACGACTTTTCCATTAATCATATCTAACACACATCTGTTTGGGCCCTGGAAGGGTCCCTGGGCTGGCTCTCACAGCTGGGCTGCTTACAATTATCAGGGAGTCTTTCACCTTTCTCGGCCTCCTAGGGCTCCCCTCTGCCCAACTCTGCCTCCTTCCAGGTGCCCAAAAGGGCAGCCAGCCCTCCGCATCCTTGTGCTCTTCGGCTCTGCACAGCAGTCTCCCAAGCCCAAGTGGCCTTGTAGGTGGCCACTGCCCTGCAGTGGACTTTTGAGTGTGGTATTGGCTGAGATAGCAGTATCAATGCACAGAGGCCGGCCTGATCAAGATAAGAACGGTGGAGAGGGTAGGGCCCGCCAGCATCAGATAAGCGAGAGAAAGACCTCCATTCCTCTGCCCCTCTTGCTGCAATTTGGGAGACACCCCCCCCCGCCCCCAATCACGGCATCCCTGGCCACTCGGGTTAGCCTGCTTTTGCCGGAATTAATACTGGGGATAGTGTCATTACACCCTGTGTAACTTCTAAGCGTTCTAGATATATACTGCCCCCAAACCAGTATGGATCCAAGGAGTTTCGTGTAAGACTGATGAGGCCTGGGTGTGCTGCCTGCTGTCTTCTCCACGGAGTACGACAAAGGTTCATGACCGATATTTCTTTATGCTTGAAGAACCCCTTGGAAGTCACCTGTTCCCATCTTGGGTTGTCACGTCGTCTCCAGGCGTCGGTCAGCGCGGCAGAGTCAGGAACTGGTCGTCCTGGAGCAATACGTCCGAGAGAGGGGCCTGACAATCGAGTGATGGATCGGGGCTGGGACAGCGGCGCTTGGAGCGAGGCAGCGACACCAGCGCGCCTCCACCGGCCGCCGAGCGCACCGAGACGTGTTCTCCCCGGAGGCCGGCGCCCGGAGGACCAGCTTCGCCTTCTGAAGAGCGGCCGCCGGGAACTCGGTTGTCAGGAATGTGACTGCGTAGAATCTCCCTCAAGGGCAAAGCTAGCAGGGCACACTTGATCCAAAAAGCGCGGGGAGTCGGGAAGGGGAGGAGTATTTTTAATTAAAAGTTTGTATTTCGAAATTTCCCTCGAAAAAGCTAGTGCATTTTTCCCTGCATGAGAAGGCTGGGGGGGGGAGTTTGTGCCGACGTGCAGGACTTAGAGATCCCCCCTCCTCTGGGACACCGGCCTCTCCCATGATCCCGGGTCCCTCAACATAGCAGCCAGGCGCGGTCCCATGAGGGAACTTCACATCTTCAAACAGGGCACGCTAAGAAACCTGAAACACACCTGAACGCCGCGCCTGCCACTCAGCGCGCGGGGCGCGTCGGGGGGCGCGCAGCCTAGGGGACCGCGCTCCGTCGCGACCAGCTCACCCCGGGAGGGACTCAAACTTGCAGGCGTCGGACTTGACAGGCTCAAAGTAGTCGAAGCTGGGTCGCGAGAGCAGTGCAAGCCTCCGAGGCTTGGCCCTCCCAAGTGAACACGCCCGGGAGAGACCAGTTCGAGGAGGAAGAGCCGGGCCGAAGCGGAGCCCAAACTGCGCTGGACAAGGACCGGGTCCCCGAGGCGCGGCCGGCCCCCAGGAGGCCTCGGGGAGAGGCCTGGACTCCACAGTCCCAGAGCCCGCGCCGCGCGCTCCCTCCTACCGGATCCCACCCTCGCCACCCCA